TTTTCAAGTAGTTAATTGTATCTGGAGGCTACTGATATGGGTACTAGAAGACCAAGCTCAAAACGTTATGATTGTCCTGAATGGATTATTTAAGTACAATTTGGAAAGAATGTTAAATTGTATGTACAGGGTCCTGATAAGGCAGTTCCTTTTCTGAGTGCTGTCTCAACTTGTTAGAAAAAAAAAGAGATAAAAGAGAAGGCTGAAGTGCTCATACGATTTTGTGACGCATATTTTGGAAATATGGGGAAGTGACACTTCAAGAGTATTTCTAATGCAAGAAAGTATACATATTAGCTGGGCATCATGAAAATAATGGATCGGAGAGATTTACTTTTCATCCCACTCAGACACACCTCACTGAATAAGGCAAGTTCCTGCATGTACAACATTGAATGTAATCTGTTTTTTCAGCTATTTATAGCTAGGAAAAAAGTGCAAATTCAGGTGTAGACCAGTGTTTGGCCTTTTCCCAGACTTCTGTGAAGACTGTTAGCAAATGAAAGGATTAAAAGTTCATTGAGCAATTAGCAAAACAGTTTCATAATAAAAAAAATCATATAATTTAAACCAAGCCACAGAATAGTTTGGATGGTGAACTGGTAAATCTGGAGCTTGGATGAATGGCTACACTGAAGGTATGCACACTTTACATTTCAGCAGTAACAAAGAACTTGTAATATCTTGATTCTTCATTTACTACATTGTCGCAAGATAAATTTAGAGTCTGAGCTCTGAGATAAATCTAGATGTTTTTTCTGCTGTGGTACATTATCTATATACTATCAGTGCCCTAAATATTTTGCACAGAACTATACAGTGGGGTAATTTCTGTGGTTTTTTTTTCAGATATTGCGATTCTCATAGCCTCGTATTTGGACAACGGCCTAATAGGACATGTATTTCTGATGTCACCACCAGCATATCCATTTATTCAATTGCATGAGTTAGTATTTTGCATTAATGAAATAGTATACAGTGGCACCACTAAAGGTCCTGCTGAGGAATTTCAGGAGTGGAAATTCTCCTCACATGTACTGCAGTAACTTAGAGATCAGTGCTCCCATATCGGTTACTTGGGGCTTAGTCATGCTTCCTTTATTTTGCCTTTCACAGCAGCATATTTTCTTTACATTGTTGGGGTGGGCAAAGGACATACTACATTTTTTTTCTGGGATTAGTGAGTGGAAACACATCAATCGGGTATCTGAGATTACCGTGCTTCATTAGAAATTCCCAAAACTTATTCCGAAAAAGCTCCCATATAGCTAAACATGAGGTTCAAATATTTTGAGCAGGTAAGCATAACTGTAAATCATAATCTGATAGGTCCAAGACCAATTAATTTTTCATATTCTATTTCTTGCTTACAATGCAATGGGAAGCGATGTTTTTTTTGAATGTTTGTTATTTGCAGTTGCACTGAAATTGTTTCAGTCAATGAGCTGTTTCTGAAAAATACCATCAGTAATCCCACATTGACTAGCTGCAGCAGAAAATGTTTTTGTGTTATGTGTTGTACTTTTCTTTCTCTAATTTAATAGGAAATTAGTACGATGAATTCTGCCCTACAATCTAACTTAATAGAGTAAATAATGATACTTGATACTTCAAAAGAGGGGCTGTCTTCATGCACTAGTTTCAAGATCACTCCTTGAAGTAGTTACAACTGATTGTGTGAATAGAGACAATCAGTTTCAGCAGGGGCATGAATTACAAAGTTGTGCTCATACACTGGTATTCTTGTATTACTAAAGCTTACTAACCTTTAGTGAACTTTATAACCTGAAATGTCTTGAATGAAGTCTTATATAAAATGTAACTATTTTTCCATATCTAAAGTTTATTTTTAAAATGTGAGTACATGTTCTTCTTCCTAAACCCCTTCATTCTTTCATCAAATGTTCTTGCTTTAAATTCATTGCTTTTTCCACTGTATAAACTAGGTGGATTTGAATACTTACAGGAAGAATCTGAAGCATTTGGTTGTTATTAGTGTGGAGATAGCTGACTCACACATGCAAAAAATTAAAGAAACTTACAAATGTTCAAGTGATTTTTGTTTTGGGGCTATACAGCACCAAACCACATCCTGTAGTACAACGGATCTTTTCCCTTTTTATTTTTATTGTGCAGTATCATTTCAGATTAATAAAACAAACAAGGACAATACTCTTATTCTCTATTCCCCAAATTTTATTGTTTTTATTTAAATATAACATACGTTATACATTGTTGCTCAGTGATTTTTATTTCCCTTTTCTTTTTTAAATCCCTCCCTGTTTTCCTTTTGCTCAGGAGTCTGTTATGTTGAGGGTGACAGAAAACAGATCTTATGGTTGAGGATCTGTGATACTCTAGATAGCGTGTCTGCAGTTTACTCCCACTACAGTGGGTACTACAGTATTCCAAACACACAGGAATCATTGATTCCTTCAAGGATTTTTTTTATTCTGGTTAATTTTCAGAAACCACTATTCATGTCACAAATGGCTCCCGACTCACTTTGGAAAAGTGATATTTGCCGATTTTGGCCTCTGAGCAGCATGGTATTTTGAGTACTATGATAATATTTATGCATAATCCCTTCCCTGACCAAGTCATCTAGGTAATTCTGTCAAAAGAGAATTTCGTTCGTACCCTAAATGTTCTTTAAATGGTCATCCAATACTGCATTTGCCCAAGCCCACACTGAATGTTCACTGTGGGTGGTCCATTATGTCTTGTCAGTTTTAATTATTGATTACAAACTTTAAACAACAGAACCTTGCTTTTATCATTGTAGTTAAGTTTTGCTGTTTTGCTGCAATTACATTTAAAATCTGAAATTCTTACTTCCCTTTCTAGAAAATTCTCATCTGTGAATAAGCAAGCTGGAGATAAAATACCACGAAATACAATGATGTCAGCTATCTGCTAAATTGTTGTCTCTCAAGGAATTCCTGGTTTTTAAACAGTTGACTTTATTTAAGGACAGGAAATACAATCTGGCCATTTTGTATTTTATGGGAAAGCTATTATTTTTGCTTTTTAAAAAAAAACAGCTAATATTTAAATAACAGATTAAGATTGAAATGCTGGTTAAACATTGACTTAAATAAGTTACAGAAGATTCCAACAACACCAGCCTTTACAGAGGTTAAACATTCTCAAAAAGACACATTAAGAAAGGCTCTCCTTTGTACCAAAATACAGTTTCCAAACAATAAAAATAAAACCAACTTTTTCACAACAAGAAATATTGAAGATAAAACTGCAGCATCAATATAATCTCATAGTTATCACTTAAAGTATTTAGAACAAAATAATATTATACTACTTTTGTTTCTTACTAAAGACACTGCAAAGGCTTATTTATTTATTTAGTGGAATACAATGTGAAGACAGTGGTACAAATTGTTTGATGTACTGTTTTCTATTTATCTGCTCTAACAAAATGAATCTCAATATGGTTACATTGGTGAGCTATCCAGAGCTCTCTAAAATTAGAGTAAAGCAAAACATAAAACAAACCTTATGTAACTTTAATTGAACAGACTTCATATTATGCTTAACTTTGTTATACTGCAGTTGCTCAAGTTAAGCCATGGGACTAGTAACACTTCATAAAAATGTGCTGGATATTACGTATTTTGAGCCTTCAGTTACTATGATGGTTATGAAAGGCATGCTAAAGCTGGATACCAGCACAGCTTTTTGGTTGGCTCTCATATATAATATACATGTGAGTAATAATCTCTGATAAATGCATGAGCATGATTTTGGATCTCCTGTCTCTCAGCCCGTACTTAGGTATCGCTCCCACTATATGCCCATGATTTTCAAGCTGGTAACAAGGAAAAACGTGCTGAATGGGAGTATTAACTGAATAAGGAGTGCAGGACTGTGTTGCCTTCTTACTTACCTTTCAGAGGCCAAATTTTACACTTGGGAATTACACACTGTTTAATTTTAACATTTGCAATCTTAGTGACTTTAACAGGGCTGTCCACATCTAGGTTCCAGCTCAATACTTGCTGCAGAATATCATGCTGATTGCAATGCATTAGATCTTAGTTCCAAATTGAAATCGAAGTCAGATGAACATACACACAGCTGCATTGACACCCAAGTACAGATGTGTCCCCCCTCTCAATTTCAAAATAGCAGAAAGACCCTTTGAACAAATTATTTCTGAAGTTTGTTCTTGAGTGCTGATAAGTAAAAAAATTTCTCCAACATAGAGACACCCAATACCATAAATCCAAGCACTGCTTGTTTGGTCTTTTTGCTTAAGTGCAAGACAGTTTAGGAAAAAAATGGATTATACACATTAAATTCTGCCTTTAAAGCCTTGTCTAACACCTATTTTCAGAGCACTTCTGAGGCTTTGATACTTTAACCTATCAACCTCTGTGTGAAGTACTGAGAAAAAGGGAAAATAACAAAGAAGCAAATGAGGAAAACATTTCAAATCAAAAAGATATTTAACATCCTATTAAATAAATAACTTAGAGAGAAATAAAAAGAAATGAAGTTAAAACATACAAGCAAACCATACTATTCGTTTTGTTAGAACAGTTTTACACTACTTTGCTTATATTTCTTAATCCTATCCACTCTTCCACAAGGCTTCTCCAGAAATGTCATTATTTGTGCATATGACCCAAGTGCTTCCAGTAAATGCTTGCGTGTCTAACTGTTCATTGGATCATTAGGCTTGAACGAGCAATTAAGGTCTTTGATATGAGTTAGTATTCTATAAATAACTTTCCCCATGAAGATCATTCAACAGATTGTCTCATGTCCCTTAAGTTCTGTTGCAGAGATAAAAAAAAATTGTTCACACTGGCAATAACTTCCATCCCATTTGATCCAGCTTGTTTCTTGAGTATAAGATATGACACCAAACTAAATAAAAATATTTCATGTGCCAGCAATGAGTACAAAACCTTCAAAGGCTTCCCCTGCTCTCTTTTCAAACAAGCAGATGTCTGTACTATTTCTTTGCATTTACTCTTCAAGAGGATTACCAAATATTCTTGACATAAGAGCCTTTGGTTCAACTGCATCAATAAAATAGAATAGTTCCTTCATCTATGACATTACTACCATTGGAAGAAAGTGAGCTGAAGTGTTTTTCCTTCTTGTTTTCTGTCCTCTCTTTGTGGCTCCCCTTCCATTCAGGGCCACAAACATTTGCCTTCCATTGTGCTTCCAATTTAAGGATGCATATGTGTTATATCCATTTTCTTCTATTCTTTCCTTCAATTTGCAATCACTGTTAAACTCCTTCTGTTAAAAGAAGAAAATAAATACACAAATTCAGAATAAACATAATCTTTCAGAGTTGCAGCATACTGAAGGTAAATAGTTTCTAAAAATGTTTTGGAAGATTTCAGTGTTCTGTATGTGATACCCTTTTAGGATTCTACAGTGTATTTAAAGAAAAGTTTCACTGTGTCCATAGCATTTAAAGCAACATCAGTTAAACTGCAAAAAGTGAAACAACAAAAGACATAATCAATTATTCAGTGCATAATTATAGCAGTGAAATTATATAATTCACTCACAGCTGAAATTCAACTTCTCCGTGTTGGAATATAGCAACAATATTAAAGCAAATTCTCAGTCATAAACTCAAAGTATGAGGTAGCAATCTTGGAACCATTCATCATATTTCAGTTCTAACAAATACAACCCTTAAATATCTTGAACCAGATTATTGGACCTTTAGACGTCTCTTCCAACCCAAACTATTCTATGATTCTATTGTTCTATTGATACCGTATGTTAAACAAATATGCATGGCATAGGCCTATTTCTTATTTAAAATAAGATCTTTTACACCACACTGGCCATGAAAAAGGGCTTTTTTTGGATGGGTGCAAATCACTGTTATGCTACTGTTGCAATGGATATGAGGCCTGTTTACTTTGCTGACCTGAAGAGCAGCTTAGCCTAAAAAAGAATCATGTATGGTCCTGTATCTTATTGACTAAATAAACTTGAAAGCAATTTTGTGTATAGTACCAGGGATTAAGGTACTCCTTTTTAAAGGAGAACCAGTTGTAAGTTTATCAGAAAGAATAAAAAATACAAGCATGTGGAAGCATGTAGGGGGAGACTATTTTTTTGCTATAATGTTAAATGCACTTTTATGCAGATCTGCTTCTCTATAATGAAGACAAGAATACTTTGTTTTCACAAACAAGTAATTCCTACATATAAAAAAATCCCAGTTTTATCAAGTTACTTATGTTCCATTTAGAAGGCTTTTGAAAGTGGGACATTTACAACATACTTAAATTACAACAAAAAATTAGCATTTCGTTGTTCTGCATTACAGAAAATAAGATGTTATTTCACAGCTCAGGCAGAAGCATGTCAGAATCTCAGAGTATGATATACTAACTACATGTGGTATTTTTAATGTGTCTATGAACAAGGCAAGAAATATGTCTGAATAATAAAACAATTTTCATAGTATAGATAAGAATTTCAGGGATGTTTTATGTTTTATTATTATCAAAACCATTAGATATCTAAGATATCTTTAGATATATCTAAAGATACAGAAAGTATCCACATTAATAAAAAGGACATAAGAATGTTAAAAAAATGTATTTTCCATTCCTATTACTTTAAATTAGAATTTTTAATCTAGTTAATGTTCAGTAATTTGATACAGTAAGAATTTTTGGGTCTGTAATTAATGTTTTACTTAGTCGCTGCTAAGACTACAGAACACATGCTTATGTTTTCCTAACAGAATTGCGCATATTCAAACTCAATTTGGCTCCCAAAATGCTCTTTGACTTTGGGATTAGTAGTTAGTTGAACAGTGACTGTTGGGGAAGACACTATCAAGAGAAGACTCTCTACAAAACGACCCTTGATACTGCCTGTATTCACAAAGCTACATATAGATCATTTAGTATTTATTTGCTGTAATATGCCACCTCTGGCATCAAGGTATTAAGAAGGCAGGTGACCATCAATCAGTTCTAAACTGCATTAGCTTCTCCTATCTGCCAGCAGCTTATTTTGTTAAAGAAACCAAACAGTGAGTCTTCTTTTGCTCCCTCATTCTAACCAAAGTCAGTCCAATGGAAACGTTTTTGATAAACATAGAAACAGTCTTACTTGAATTGTTTTCCCAGATGCAGATTTGTACTTGAATCCAAAGTTTTATCTCTATTCTTAGATAATACAGAGAGAACAGATGATGATGTGATGTGGTTAAGAAGTCTTATTGGCAGGGGTCCTGAGTGTTAGCCCAGGACTGCTTTGCTCATTTCAAACAAATTTCAGCATAACCCTACACCAATGTCTATTGTGCACATGCTTAAGAGTGTTTTTACAATTTTTATTGGTTCTGTTTTTCATATCCATCTGCAAGCTGCCACACTGTAGTAATATGAGTCTAACTGCAAGTCTTGGGAGGATGGGAAAAATAATAACAGAAGCATTCTTGAAATCTCTGAAGTATTATGGAATAGGTTTTGATAAGTCATTATGCTGTGATTTTATGATGTGAATATTGAAAAATTATCTCAGCTGGAATTAAAAGAAAGGCTTTCCACATTCGTATCTTCCTGTCAACACTATTTCTAATACACTATGAATTACTGAATCTTAAGGCAGCAGTTTCCACCTATGGTACATGAAAGCAACTTTGACTTCTTTTGTGTGTATATAGGGTTGGGATGGACTCTTACCACACCAGCTGTGGCTAGCAACTTGGGTAGGAAAACTCAGGCTTTGGGATGGACCGTCAAAAATGACTAAATTAAATGCTGTAAACTGAGACGTGTGAATTGAAGATGGCGATTTATGCTAACTCCTTCACATATGTCCAGAAGCACACCCATGATCAATGAGTGTAGCTTAACTGACAAATGGTAACTTTGTCAGCAACTCAGTATACCCTTATAGCTCTCAATGGTGCAGGACTGAGCACTGCTTATCCTGTATTCTGACCAGTGTAATTCTAGAAATTAAAATCCACATTTACAGGAGTTTAAGAAACATTTCTCTGTTCTGGTCTTTCCTTAATGTGATTCTTCAACACTGCCCAGGAGTTTAGAAAGTCAGAAGTAACCTTTCGGACCAGGAGCGACTAGCCACAGTGGAGATGAAGGAGGACAGTTTATATAGTTTGTATGAACTAAACCCACACTGTAGAAATGCTTCCTTAAAAAAGAGGGCCAAATGACTTCAAGCCCCTTGAGTGTCAGTTGAGACTGTCACTACCTCATTATTTTCAGCAGAGGTAGGTGGCTTAGCTACATTACCCAAGGATAAACCCAGACCCAGCACCTATCTGTGACCTGCTCTCTTTAAAGCCTATGGATGTTCTGAATACTGAGCAATCTGAAGGTTGGCTCATAACCTTTGCAGATGACTTGAATAAGTTTATATTTATGTGGGCTCACTGGAACTGGCAAAAAGTTGCAAAATTACAAAGCAAACCAGATGTATACCAGAACAATCTGGTGTTTGTGTAATCATGTGGATGTGTGAGGGTACACTTGAGTTTAGTAGTCAGATTTATAGATCATATTGCTTCCTATGAAAAATATTTGGATAGTTACTGGTTTTGTTGGGTTGAGGGTTTTTTTGTGGTTTGTTCCCCCCCCGTTCCCCCCTCTGAGAGTACCAGTAACCCCAAACTTACACAAATATGAATAGAGTATATATGGACAATTTTCAAATGATACCCAAATCCTGTTCAGCTTTTATCTATCTGCTGATATGTAAGTCTGTATCTCTCTGTACTGCCCATAATCTTGTGTATTAATTAACACAGTCAATGTAAAGCTGGCTACTCTAGAAATCTTCTTTTTGGAAGTCATAGTTTGATAATTTGGTCTGTCTGCTCCATCAGTTGAAGTTTCCAAGATTTCAGGTACACTTTATTCCCCCTAGAATTACTGCTAAATGTGACTGTACTGCAGAAAAACAGAGAAAAACAGCCTTAAAGATTACATTTTGTAGGACCCTCTCCATTGGCCACTACTTAATAAGAAACCTGACTGAAGCAGTAAGCATGATAAATCCCTGCAGTTGCTTTGGTATGATATAAGCTTAACAAACAACAGGGAGCTTGTAGAGAGGGCAGCTGCTCGTTTACCAGAGGATGGAATGTTGATGAATAGCTCATTTCAGCTCTAATCAGTAGTAATACAGAGACAAGGGGGGTTTTCAGTAGGCAAGAGAGGGAACTATGCCGCCTACTGCAATCCATTTGGAAGGTAAAAAAAATACTTACAGAGCCGTAGACTTTTCCTTTCTTGTTCATGGCTAAATAATAGTTGCTCTTAATGGACTTAACTGCCACAACTCCAATTTCTACAGATGTTATCTCCAATATGCCTAAAAAATAAAAATTGAGCTATTTAATAACTTTATTAGAGGATTTTCTCACTATAGAAAAAACAATAAGCCTGAAAAAGACTAAACTTCTAATATTCGCAACAACAGACCAACAAACTTTAGCAAAATTCTTCTCTAAACCACTGCAAGAATATACACAAACATTGTTTCAATTAATGTTTCCTTTGCTAACCCTGCATTTTAAACCCCATAAATACTGAAACAGCTCCATTCTTCTTAGCATAGATTTTACTAAAATTTATCAGAAGAGACATCTGAACCACAGCATTAAATTAAATCTATAGCATATGTCAATAGAACGTTAGACTTACCCCAATCTTCAAAACCAGTGGTAAACTATTTATTCCTTGTAGGACATTTAGATAAACTAAATCTCTTGGCTGCACTGAGCTGATAAATTCACTTTTGGCAAGTGTGTTGACATTTTGGGATATAATAAGACTAACCCTAACAGCCACATTATCTTTGTCTTTCAGATATCAGAAACATTTTGCTCTGTTTGTAATAAATATGATTGATTTTTTTTCTTTAAAACAAACTCTTTCTGCAATACTGGGTGGCTCAAGGGGCCAATAATGGGAGGCAGAGCTTTTATCCCTATGTTTTCTGCCCAAGAGCATACTGATTTGGGAGTAGTAGAAGTTACTACAACTTATATAGCAACTTTAGAGATCCCTTTTCAGCTATTACTACAGTAACTGGATGGCTATGTTGTTCGGGCATTGTGTCTTAATACAGGATAAATATGGTTCCAACCAGATAATTTCTAAATGGTTTATTCAGGTAGTATGCCTGGCTCCAACATTTCTCCTGATATTAAAGTAGGTATTAAAGAAGTCAGAACAATAGCCCGTCTAACTCAGTGGTCACTAAGGGCCTACCAATGGGGAAATTACAGGATGGGCAAAAGTGTTGAGAAATTGTAAAGAACATCTTAGACCAAGCCAACAAATAATGTGATGAATAGATCAGCTGGCAAAAACATTGATGAGTTGCTACCTGCTTAAAAAAAAAAGAATCTGCAATAGTTTCCTCTTAAATACGTTCTATGCTTTTTGTCTGAGCAGGGTAGTACTGGAAAATCCCTATGTTTTTTCCTTTACTTAAAAATTCCTTATGGTAGCCACACAACAACTGAAGCCAACAGTGTAACTTGGTATTCAGTGCATTTTCTGGAAATGCTGATTTTCTGTCCCTGAAAATTGAATGCAGTCTGTTCAGACTGTGGAACCATGTGGACTTTATTGTGCAGAGGAGGTGAGGAGGAAGTTCTTTCACTGTAAATTTTTTTTAAAATGGCTGCTTTACATACGATGCAAAAGCTGTTCTGTATGGCCATTGAACTGGTCTGTGCAACTCGGGAGCGAGGGTGTTGCTTGTTCTGTGACTATAAGTAGAGGCTTAGATGTTAGCTGGGCAGTGGCTGTGAATCAGGCATGAAAAAGTAATCGCCGATTTTTATTGAGAAGTATACTGATGACATAGTTTATACATGTGAAGAAGAGAAAGAACCTCAAACTAGGCAATTTAATGTGAAAGATCTCCTTTTATTGTCAAGAAAGGAGAGGTGGCCTTTCCTGGATGCATTTTTAAATACATGTAAAATTCTATACTTCTATAAACTACATAAATTTTGATATGAAAATATATAAATTCCAGTGCAATTACCAGAGGTTTTCTCTTTACTTAGCAAGAAACATTAGGTTGGCCACAGCTACAAGGTCTGTAGTCCTTGCATATGAGAAAGACTTCAGTGAGAACTGCAAGATAAACAACAGTAAGTCTCAGATCTACTAAAGCCCTTCAGAAAATGGACCATATTAAATTACAAATAATATTAAAATTTTTTTCTTGTCCAAACCTATAAAGAGCTGAAAGTGAAGGATTATTTTGTTTACATATTGATATCAAAATGCAAATATAAATGTTGATAGACACAAACAATCAGTATTATAAAAAAAACCCAAACCTGATAAAGCCTTCAGATGTAAGATTTTTATGGTAAGATTCTTAATTGCAACATGAAAAATCATCAGTGCTAAGGATGGAGTTGCACATATAAACTAAGAAAACTTCACCTATGCTGTGAAAAATCTGAATATCCACTGAGCTTCTTACAGCTGTGTGAGAACAATACTGCACTAATCACCACTCCGGCTTGAAACCCAGACTTCAACAGAGTGAATGCACATTTACATATGGCACTGCAAGCCTGCTACCTCTGAGGGGGTATACACAACAGTTCCCAAAATGAGCTCACTCCATCATCATCAGTAGTATCCAACTCAGTAGCAGCAAAGGCCCCTCTGGTATCTGCGGGTAGCCTAACTACTGCCAAGCAGAAAAGATATGGACAGTTATTTAAATGAAAATTCTAAACACAGCTTCCATTAGTTACTTATATGTAATGTTAGCCTGACAATTACCACAAGGTGCTTAGATGGAAATAAGAGGAACTATAACTTAGGGGAACTCTGTAATCTGGGAAAACCCAGAAAATGTGAGGGAAGAGTCAGTTAAGACCCATGACCTACTTTTAAGGCTAACTTGTCTACTGCTGCAAAGGAGCCATACATCATTTTCCATATGTAAGATAAAGAGAATTGTACTCTCTAATCTCAAGAAAAGTTGTGAGGGCTCCTTAATTAGGTCTTGATAGTCAGCTCATATATACCAGTGTCATGCCATTAATACAAGCAGATCAGTAAGTCCATACCAGCCAAGGTGTGTTATGCTTCTATTACTCTTAAAACGTTGCTCATTTTCACAGCAAAGAAAAGCCAAAGTTGCTTTCTTGATTTTCTGTGAGATCATTAATACAGAGCAGCAGTCTTTTATATGTCTCTCCCATGGGACATCTCCTGAAGTATTTGTGCTCAAAATCAAACAGAGTTAGGTGGAGTGTCTTAAGTCATGTGGATGACAAACTCTTAGAGGGTAAGAATGTGGTGCAAACACTGCTACAACTCCCACTTCTTTTTACATGAGTTACATGGATTTTTCTATTTTCCATGGCAAAAAGTGATGAGAGGAATTAAGTTAATTCTTTCTACAGAAATTATTTGCTGTAATCCAAACTGTGACACCAGTAAAACTAGGCTGGGTCCATTTCTAACAGCAACAGCAGTAACAAACAAAAAAAAAGAAAAAAAAAGACGATACTGGCAAAACGTGCCATTATTAATTTTTATGTTGAAATGGATTAAACTGAGATATATTTTGTCATATTATCCTCATAACAGTAACACCATATTAGACCATTTCAATTGATTAATACACTTGCAGCTGCAGGAGAAGAGTGCTTAAATAAGAAACTTGCACTGAATTAACACATATTAAGTGTTTTGCACTTGAATGACGGAGATACACTGCTCTTCAGTACAATACCTAAGTTAAAGTAAAAGAAGTATTCATATAATTCATGAAAACATATTAATTTTTTCTGGTAAAGTTTGTTTGCAATCTCACACTCCATTATATCCCCAGTGGGGCAGCTGAAAGGAGGTCATGAGGAGAAATGTTACTACATTTACATTATATCCACAGTAACTAGCTTGATTATACCTAGTTGCACTATTTAACTGGAGCCAAACGTATCTGTATTCTTTGGAACTATTATCAGTTTGATCTCATCACCAATGATCCGGGATTTATTCTCACTAAGTGTGTTTTGTGTATTTGGAAGTTGAAAAATGTATATTTTTCAGTAACAATTGTGCATATTCTAACCTCTGCAGTATTTTGGGGGGAGAAGGGGACATTTTAATGGCTGTTTTTCTTTCAAATGAATTTAATACTCTTGATCTATCACCCCTTGGTAACAGGGACATAATTTGGTTCTTATCTACCCTGCTAATGTCTGTACACTCTGGAGACTTCACTGGAGTTACATTTTAGTTACAAGCACAGAACTAGCTTTTGTCTAGATTGTAAATTATTCAATATTATTTAGAGATTTTCTCAGGAGGAGATTCTCTCATGAGTTTGATAGACCTACTGAAGGTAACAGGAATCTTTTCATAGGTGTCAGTGATGTAGACACAAATTTCAAAGGTCAGCATGAGAGCATCAACTCATCTGACATGGATCTACAAGCAGAAGTCATAAGGACATTTCAGAACTTTGAAATAGACTGGGTTTAACTCAAATGCCTTTGATGTAAGGGTTAAAATATGTATTTGATTATTCTTTATGAAGCTTAAAACTAGTGTTTTCACCATCTAATGAAACTGATTTCTTTGAGGGCACAAAAAAATTTTGTATTTTCATCCAGGTTTATGTAGTAGAGTCACGGGCCGTGATTGGACTTCTACACTACTGCAGTACAAAATATAATTTCCATGGGGTCTCAAGATTAACTCTGTAAAATTTCATATTCTTCAAGTGCTGCAGGCTTGGAGGTAAGAGCTTGTGTGTAGTCATAGACAATACGGCTGAAAGGATGCCAGATCACTGTGGGTACTCCACTGGCCTTAGTTAGGAAAGCTATTCTTGACAGATGATTGTTCTCAGACACCTTCAAAAAATGAGATTCTATGACCTCCCAGGTAACCTATTCCACTATCTACGTTAGAAAGTTATTCTAGTATCCAATTTAAATGTCCTTGTTGCAATTTGAGCCCATTAATTCTTGTTTAAACTGTAAACTAACATGAAAAAGAGATTTTTATTTTTTCTTTGCAGAAAGCTTTTATGTATTCAGAAATTATCATCACACCTGCCCATCTACCTACCAACTTTTGCTCTCTAAACAAACCCAGTTTTTCAATGCTTTCCTTAAAGCTTTCAGGTTTTCTAGACCTTTGAACACTCTTGCTTATGCCCACAGCATGGCCATAATACTCTTACTGAAATCTTACCAGTTTTGATACATGAAGGAACATTTCGTATTTCCTGCAAAGGATATATGCATAAATTATACATTTATGCATACTTCCTTTTTTTTTACAGTAATATGATAATACTAATTCATGTTTTAT